AGGGAGGGAGGGAGAGAGAGAGAGAGAGAGAGAGAGAGAGAGAGAGAGAGAGAGAGAGAGAGAGAGAGAGACTTTCTGTCTTTCTTCAGGAATCAAGAAGTCAAGAACAATTGTTGCTGCTGGGCAGTGGTGGTGCACACCTTTGATCCCAGCACTCAGGAGGCAGAGGCAGGCGGATCTCTATGAGTTCGAGGCCAGCCTGGTCTACAGAGTGAGTTCCAGGACAATCAGAATTGCTACACAGAGAAACCCTGTCTGGAACAAAATAAAACAAAACAAAATACTTGCTGCTCCTACAGAGGACCCAGGTTCAATTCCCAGATAGCTCATAACTATCTGTAATCCTGGTTCCAGGGGGACTCAACAAACACAGTGAACGCACATGCATGTAGGAAAAACATTCATACACATAAAGAAAAATAAATCAAATTAAAAAATAGTAGTTAAGGGGCTGAAGAGATGGCTCAGAGGTTAAGAGCTCTGGCTGCTCTTCCAAAGGTCCTGAGTTCAATTCCCAGCAACCACATGGTGGCTCACAACCATCCGTTATGAGATCTGGTGCCCTCTTCTGGTGTGCAGATATACATGGAAGCAGAATGATGTATACATAATAAATAAATAAAATCTTTTAAAAAAATAGTAGTTAAAAGAGCCCAGCATAGTGGTGTACTCCTCTCTCTAATTCCAGCACTCAGAGTAGAGGCAGAGGCAGGAAGCTTAGGAGTTTAAGGTCATCAGCACCAGCAAAATTGAGGCTAGTCTGGGCAACATGAGGTAACATAGTGCAAATAAAAAACAAAACACAACAAATAAAAAAGAGGAAAAAGAACCAGGCAGTGGGTGGCTCATGTCTTTAATCCCAGAACTGAGAGGCAGAGGAAGCAGGATTTCTGAGTTCAAGCTCAGCCTGGTCTACAGAGTTCCAAAATGGCCCAGGCTACACAGAAAAACCCTGTCTCTGAAAAACCAAATAAATAAGTAAATAAATAAATGAGAAAAACAAGGTCAACTTAGTACTGAGGTGTAGCTCAGTAATGAACTGTGTTGTGTGCCCTGTGGTCCATCTCCAGCACTACCCCCAAAAATTCATTTTTCCAGCATCCTATGAGGCAGGCACTACTATTAGACCCGAGGAAATAGAGTGATGTGCCCGGGATCACTCAGGCTGCTCAGCCCACCTGTCGGTGTTGTTCTGTTCTGTGCTGGGTCCTCTGTGGATGCCACCCAGAACAGAAACACTTATTGTAATGCCTATGAACTCCAGGCTGCACACAGGCTCACTGGGGCACAGACTTTCAGCTCAGGCTCTGCAGCCCCCTACAGAAAGGGCAAGGAGGGGGCTGAAAGACCCTGCCCTAGCCACTCCCAGAGTCCCCTAACTCTGGGAAAACCACCCAGTGCCCCCTCTGAGGAAAGCTGAAAATTAGATTTAATTAGGACCCTTAGGGCCCGATAGAAAACAGCAGAAGAAAGAGGGTTGTATACATTTGAAGTTGGAGGGACACAAGAAGGACAAAGGGCCTCACATTAGGAATCTGTAAAAATGGAGCCAGATGTGTTTTTTTTTTTTTTTTTTTTTTTTTTTTTTTTTTTTGCATGATGCCAGTGCAGCCAGGTGCCAGGCTGGGAAGCTTCTCGGGGTAGACCTGGGTTTCACCAGCCCTGCCATTTCAGGGGCCACTGTCCCCATTTGCGGTTGAGATGGTGGTAAAGCAGGAGAAAACCTATAGCAAGCAAGGGCAAACCAGTACTTGCCCCAGCCTGCTTGGGCAAAGCTATATGGTAAATCAGTACCAGACTTGCCTTTGGGCTCTGCTGACTCTAGGATATCAAAGCATTGAGAGTTGTTTATCTGGGCCTGGGTCCCCAGGGTCACAGAGAGCCCCAAGAGCTTCCCTTGGATAAACAAGCCCAAGCCTGGCCTCAGTTAAGCAGGATGCTAGAAGAGCTTCCCTTGGATAAACAAGCCCAAGCCTGGCCTCAGTTAAGCAGGGCTTGCCTCACCAGGGCTTAAGAGTCTAGAGACACCTGCGAGGCCTGGTCCAATGGGAAGGATCTGGAAAAGTCAGGCTCAGGCCCCGGGTTGGATCTGCCGTTTGAACTAGGTGTCCTCCGTTCCTCAAATGGGAGTAAAAGAAGCCTAGAGTTTGGCACGGCCTTGTCAAAAAGTGGGATTTAGGATCCCATCCGTTCTTAGATCCCTGTAGAGATGGCAAGTGACCTCAGGAGGGCGCGTCCCGGACCGAGAACCAAGAGGGTGGGTCAGGCGCGCCCCCTGCCGGTCGCCCCGTGCCTCTTCGCTCGGGGGCCAGTTGCCGCTTAGAGCTTCAGTTTGCCTGGATGTGAAACAAGAGCCGCCAGAGGCCTCGGCCTTGTGATGCAGGTGGAGTTTCTCGGGGTTGGGGTGTCATGTCTGATACTTCAGGGATGAGGGGAACCCTGCCGCTCATTTCAACTGGTCCTCCCGCAGTGGACGGCTGCATCCACAGGGCCGCGGGACCCCTGCTCACCGACGAGTGTCGCACCCTGCACAACTGTGAGACTGGCAAAGCTAAGATCACCTGCGGCTATCGGCTGCCGGCCAAGTGTGAGTGCACTAGGGGAACTGCCCGTAACTGCAAGGGGGCATCTTAACTTTAAGGACCTGGCCTCTCTGATACCCCAGAGAGCAGATGGAAAGGGGCTGGAGCTGCAGAGCCCCAGCGGGCAGGACAAGAGGATGGAGTTACTGTCTTCCACCACTTAGCAAGGTGGCATGTGGGTGGGCGGGCACAAGGGTGGGGTCTTTCTGGCAAGATGTTCGGGGAAACTTTGGCCTCTGACTTAAGCTCACCCTACCTTAGACGTCATCCACACAGTGGGGCCTATCGCTGTAGGCCAGCCCAGTGCCAGCCAGGCAGCTGAGCTCCGCAGCTGCTATTTGAGCAGCCTGGACCTGCTTCTGGAGCACCGGTTGCGCTCAGTGGTAAGAGTCGCCAGGCGCGTGGGGGGGGGGGGGGGGGGAGGGATATCCAGGGAGGCACCTAGTGACCAAGTCCTTATGTCATCTGGCACTCCCTTCCCCAGGCTTTCCCATGCATTTCTACAGGCGTGTTTGGTGAGTCTGGAAAAGCAAGGCCAGGGTGGGCAGTGAGGGCCCCATTTGTCAAGGTGGGCGGGCCGGGGCCAGATTTGAACTCAACAGACCATGCCCTCAGGATACCCTAATGAGGAGGCAGCTGAGGTAGTGCTGGCGGCGCTGCGGGGGTGGCTGGAGCAGCACAAGGACAAGGTGAGACTGGAGAGAATGGTTGGCAGCGAGGCGGGAGCAGGGGCACCTAGTTCTGGGTAGGTGCGGCCAGTCGGTACCTGCCCTCCCCAGGCCCACTCCCCCCCGTGGGCTTATTTGTTGTGGGACAGCCGATGGGAAGGGGCTGAGCGTGCAGCCTGAACCCCTTCTATGATGGGTACTGTTGATTCTCAAATCTCCACGGACAGTACACCCATAGTAGGCAGTTGAGACCCTGCCACTGTGGGTGGGTTTGGGGAGCACGAAGTACTGGGACTGATGGCCCGGTGGAGGCCCCACCCGGGCTCAGCAATCCCTGGCGCAGGTGGATCGGCTTATCATCTGTGTGTTCCTGGAGAAGGACGAGGACATTTACCGAGAGCGCCTGCCCCATTACTTCCCAGTAGGTATGTGCCCTCCTTTTCCTCCGGGGCCCCCCAGGCTAGCCTACCCCTCCCCCATGGCCCTGGGCGGCTCTCACTGTCCTCTGCCTTCCAGCCTGAGGCTCCTGAAGCCCACCCTGAATGGGACTGGTAAGCAGGGCCTGGCCCAGTGTGGTGTGGCCACCCTACACTAACCTGGCCCTCTAACACCTGCTCAATCTGCTGTTGCCCACCTCCATGCAGTGGGGTGGTGAAGCTGGGGAGGGGCCCAGGGGCCTTCAGAAGTCCTAAACTCCTTTGATCTATCTGCTCTACCATCAGACCCACCTGGGCCTGTGGGACCTCGCTCCCAACTCTGAGAGAAGCCGAACAGCTTGTTCCAGCCTGGCCACCCCGAGTTCTGTCCTGTCCCTCAGTATGTCCTGCCCTGCCTTTCAGAAGCCTCTTAATAAAGATGTCTGATTCAGCCTCACTTGTCTGAGTGCTGGGGTCTGGGTCTGGCTGGGGCCCAGGGGTAAGGTGTCTTGGGGCTGTTTTTGCTTCAAGTGGCTCCAAGAGCCCTGGGTGAGCCAGGCGGGTGAGTGAGCCATTGGCCAGAGAGCAGAGGCGGTGGCGGCTGCAGCACTTCACATTTATTGAGGGCCTGCCCCCAAGGAGCTCACAGCCTGGGCTGAGATCCCACATGTGCTGGGGGTGGGGAGGAGAAGGCAAAGAGGCAGGTAATGCAGATATGGCCCAAGCAAAGGGGTGCAGAGCAAGCACAGGCAGGGAGCTCTGGGGAACCAGTAACAGGCAAGCCCTGCCTAGATAGGAATGAGGCCTTCTGCTCCTCCCACACCAAGTCAGTTCTTCCTGGGGCCCAGAGGATGAGCAGCTCCCCCATCTACCTGGGCCAGCCTCCTCCCATAACCTTCTCGTCTCAGGACTCCTCAATCATGCAGACCCCTGGAGGTGGGCAGAAAGCTGTGATCTGGAAGCTCTGGCCAGAATAGCAAATCTGTTACTCTAAGGAGCAGCTTTGAGTGTGGGTGACCTGAGACCTCCAGCCAAGTGCCCAAGGAACTTCAAAAGTTCCCATGGAAACCCCTGGAAAGTCAAGGAGGAAAGGGGGCAGGCCTTATGGGTAGATAGAAAGCAGAACTCTAAGGAGCATGGAGGCCTAGCCCCCTCAAATTTCTCTTGGCAGAGACACTTGGGGTGGATAGGAAGAAAGCTGAGGGACCCACCCTGGGGGAAGGGACAGCCAGACATACAGCAGCCAGTAGACATGTAGGGAAGAGCAGCAGAGCAGGGAAACGCACACTCAGGCTCACCACCAGCATCCCCTTTAATAAAACATGGAAGGTTGTGTGACAGGGAAAAGGGAGGAGTGAAATATGACCATTTACAACCACAAAAAACAAAACAAAACAAAACAAAAAAACAAACAGTGTGACAGGGAAAAGGGAGGAGTGAAATATGACCATTTACAACCACAAAAAACAAAACAAAACAAAAAAACAAACAAAAAAAAAACCAAAACAAAACAAAAAACCCTCTGTACATGTCTAGTGCCTGGCAGGGGGAGGGAGGCAGGACGCAGCAGGCCAGCCGGCCCTATTTGTAGAGGATATCGTAGTGTCCAGGCCGGTAGAGAAGGTAGACCTTGGGCTCGGAGCCCTCAGGGAAGACATGTGGGTTGGTGGTGCCGCCCTCACCACGGTCCATGTACTCTACTTGGATGGACACGCTGAGGGCTTGCGCCAGGGCGATGATGTGGATATGGTCGCTCTCCTTGCACATGGGTTCCACCTCCTGTGGTACAGGGGCAGGTCAGGCCTGTCCCAAAACCCTCCCCCTCCCCAGGTCCCAACCTCACCCAGCATGTCCCACCCTTAAACAAAAGAGAAAAAGAGGGTCCCAGGGCAGAGTTGAAGAGGAGGTGGCACCTGCTGGCAGAACTCCTTAACAGTCCGGCCACCCTCTATGAAGTGCTCGAAGAACTTGCTCTCTCGCTGCAGGTAGCCTGAGGTGAGCAGCCGCAGGTAGACCACAAGGTAGTCTGAGGTGCTCTGGTCATTGAAGGAGGCCAGCAGCTCAGCTACGGAGGTCTGCTTCTCCACCTGCTCGATAAGGTCCATGAACTGCCCCACCCGGGGACCAGAGATAAGAGGAGGAAAATGAGTAAGGAGAGGCCACCCTACCACAGCCTACAGAGCCACCCCACTGTTGGGGTGAGCCTGAAATAGCTAGGCTCACCGTGTTGTGGAAGTCCTCGATTGTGAACTCAGTGAAGCCCTGGGACACCAGGTCCTCTTTACTCTTGGCAGACACAGCCTTGAACCTGTGGGTGGGAAGGGATGGGAGGGCCAGCATGGGCTTCTCAGCCAGCAGAGCAAGGGCTTAGCCAGCCCAGGCCTGCCTAGACAAGACCACCCACCACCAAGTTCAAAAAGAAGTCCCAAACAACCAACCCAAATGATGGCTGGCCTAAGGCCCAGATCTCCTATCCATCAGGAGGGGCCTGGAGCCCCCAGTGCTCTCCTCACCGCTGCAGCTCCTTGCTGTCATCCAGCAGCGCCTCCAAGTGGGAGAAGCCGAATGCTCGATAGAAGCAGTTGCCATCAGGCCTGGTCTTGCGGATGTATGAGTACTTTTTGTGAAGGTCCTGTAGAAGAGCAGCCCAGTTTAACATCCAGCCAGGCCAGGGCCAGCCCAAGAAATGGCCATAGCAGCAGGCGGCAACTCAACTCCAGGTTCCCACCTCCAGGCTGCTGAATGAGGGCACCAAGTCACCCACTGGAACAGAGCCCTCCCCTGGAGGTTCCCAGAAGCTGTGCACTTATGTGTCAACAGGTTGTGTGGTCACCAGCTGCTTGCCATGTGGGTGCTACTGGCCACAGAGCCATTTGCTTATAAAAACAGATGACCAAATCTGTCCTTGACTAACTCAACTTTCCAGGTCTTTCAATACAAGCAAGGCAAAGCAGGGGAAAAGAACAGGCCATACTACCAGCTGCCTGGATGCCTGAGGTTCCTTAGCCTAGCATGGCTCCAGCCACAGAGAGCAGCTCTCTCTATAATCTGAGGCTAAACCAGCTCCCCCATCCACTTTTACCTCCCAACCACGCTGCATTAGTCAAGGACAGGGACCATCTCCTTCAGCTGTTTCCACTTTCTCCAAACGAAGCCCATCCCCATGAAAGCAACCCCTAGTGAAGCTTGGTAAACAGGTCTCACTCACCTGGACACCCCTACCCCTGCTCTCTTCAGCCTGATCCTTCCTCCTTTACTTATCTCTCTCAGGCTACCCCTCATCTTTCTCCATTCTAAAAGGCGAGGCTCCCACCAAATCACACTGTATCCTTCCTCAAGACACCTGCCAGATGACAACCCTCAGGCAACCCTCAGTAATGAGAGTCCCTTCACACTCAGAACTTGGCCCTGACATCTGCTACTTAGCTACCCCAATACTCACCACTAGCTCATGTCTTCCTTCAGATTCAAGGACATGAATCTAGTTTATAGATTATACTTTACAGACCCCACAGGTATGTAAGATCCAGGTGGGTCTTCCAATAAAAACAGAAACTCCTATGGAAGGCTTTTGTCCGACCAAGGTCAAAAACAACCTAGAGCTACTATAGCAGAGTCAATTCAGCCCTCCCTGGCCCAGCCTCTGGAGAGTGACAACACAACATCCCATCTTTTCCTTTACCAGCTCTCTCCCAGGCTACCTGCCGGCATCTATCTCCATCTAAAAGACAGGGCTCCCACCAAACCACACAGTATCCTTCCTCAAGACACTTGCCAGTTACAACACATCCAAATATAGGGCTTCCTGCCTGCTCTGTGAACACCACAGGCCTGACAGTATCTTCACCTTAATCCGAATAACAGTTTTTTCCTTTCATTTTGGTTTTGAGACAGGGTCACATTTTGCAGCCCAGGCTAGCCTTGAACTTGCAGGAATCTTTTTTTTTTTTTTTTTTCTTTTTTTTTTTTTTTTTTGGTTTTTTGAGACAGGGTTTCTCTGTATAGTTTTGGAGGCTGTCCTGGAACTTGCTCTGTAGACCAGGCTGGCCTCGAACTCAGAGATCCACCTGCCTCTGTCTCCTGAGTGCTGGGACTAAAGATGTGCGCCACCAACACCCAGCTGCAGGAGTCTTCTGAGTACTAAAATTCCAGGCCAACAAACCTAAATCAAGTTCTACCTTTGAAGTCGGGCAGTGGTGGTGAACGTTTTTAATATCAGTGCTTGGGAAGCAGAGGCAGGCAGATCTGTGAGTTCCTAAATCAAGTTCTACCTTTGAAGTCGGGCAGTGGTGGTGAACGTTTTTATTATCAGTGCTTGGGAAGCAGAGGCAGGCAGATCTGTGAGTTCAAGGCCAGCCTGGTCTACAGAGCAAGATCCAGGACAGCCAGAGCTACAGAGAAACCCTGTCTCAGCACCACCCCCCAAAGTTCCACCTTTGATGCTCTGTCTCCCCTATACCTCTTCATTCCCACAGCTGGGTTGCACCAGCCTGCTCTACACCCAGCTCTGAACCACAACCTCAGATGGCTCACTTCTCTCCCCAACCACCCACCAAACAGTATGCACATCCCTCAGGCTCTTCCCCTCAACACACCTAGTACCCAAATGTCATATTACACAGCCCACTACTGGTCCATCATACCTGCTTCCTGTTCTATTGCCAAAGCACCTCACCATTCCCTCTGACTCCACCTAATCCCCTAAGGCCTATTCTCAGTCCTGAAACACCAGTAACCTTAGACAGGTACTTTTCCTTCCTGCATCCTTGCAAGCACCCACACACTCCCAGGCCTCTTAAACCACCTCAGCCGGCACTACTCTTGGATGCCCTGTCACTTGTCATCTTGCTTCTTGTCTGTTCATCAAACGCACTTTTTCAGGGAGGTTCTTAACCAATACCCTTATTTAAACCACAAACTCTTTGCATTCCTTTATTTCTCTCCACAGTACTAACCAACTCCAGCAACCAAACTGTGTGTGTGTGTGTGGGGGGGGAGACACGGACAAGTTTACAGTGTTGAGACAGCAGTTTTCGATACGTAGCCCAGGCTGGCCTTGACCCTCCTGCTTCATTCTCTCCCGAGAGTAAAGACCTTTACTCTCCACCACACACACCTTTAGGTTGGTATCTGTCTTGTCCTGTCCCCTATAAGCATCACAGAAGCAAAACTGTGTTTCAGTCCCCAGTATCTGCAGTATCTCCAGTGCCTGGGGCAGAGCACATGCCTGGTGAATGTAACATGACACTGCACTAAGACTGCTGAGCCCAGCCACTCTACTGCTATAAGTTCCCTGCCCACATATAGTCAGGTACCCTGTGGAATGCTCATGCCCACTTCCTTCCATCCTCAGAGTCTATGCCACAGGAGCCAAGTACACACCCAGACTGGCTCTGCCATTACCACCCAGGAAGAACAGGAGGGCTTGGGCAGAGTACACAGAATGGACGTTAGGGTGCGGAGGCACACTGCTGCCAACAGCTCTCTTCAAAATGAAAACATATTGCTAAATGACTCAATGATGGAAGAACCTGAGGATCATCCTGTTGGTTTTACAGGGCCCCACTCTACTAACTGGCCACAAGGGAGGGGGAAAGTCACTGCTTTGAAACCCTTGCTAAGCAGCAGCAGCCCCAAGTCCAACACCTTCCCTGAACTTGCCCCACAGGATGAAAGTAACTCTAGCCTGAAGCCACACAACTAGAGAGCACAGACCTAAAAGTCTGGGCCTAGCTAGGCGTTGGTGGTGCATACTTTAATCCGAGTGCCAAGATAGGCTCCAAAGATACACAGAGAAACCCTGTCTCGAAAAAAAAAAAAAAAAAAAAAAAGTCTGGGCTGTTATGTACTCACATGTATTTTGGAAAAATCCTAAACCCCTGAGCAGTGGGTAAGAGCAGGTCACAAACTAGGTATAACTGACCCAGGCTGAAGAGGGGTGATTTAGCACATACATTTCCACCCAGGTGCTAAGGACAGACCTTAGGTCCTTGCAAACACTGGGCTCATGCTATACTGAGCTAGCTGTAGCCCAGCCCTACACAACATTCTAAATTCTCATTAAGTACCAAATGTTCAGTCAGGAAAGCTCATGAATTCTGGCTTCTCTGACAACAGAGGATGCTCCTTACCATGCCTGTTTTTGTGCTATGCTGCCCTCCCATCTACTACTTAGACAGTTTCACTCATTGGGCTACCAGCTTGGCCATCTAAAGGCTCCAGCTCCAAGTAGAGGATATAAACTCCTTCAATCCTCAGGCTGTCTATTAAATATTATTTTCATACCAGGGTCACAATTCAACCTCCATTGCTCCCAGTCTTTGGGGTGGCTGGCAAAGAAATGCCTCAGCTTGAGGGATGCAACAGGGACACACATAGGGAGCCTGTCCTCCACAAAGATCCAACAGACAGACAGACTGTAGGACAGGTCTCTATATAACCCATCTACCCATCCCAACACCAGCAAGTTTGTCCCCTGGCTGGGTACTGAATTGTCAGTGCCCACCCAGCCTGCACCTGGTCCCACCTGAGCATCACCTACCTCAACCTTACAGCCACCCTACAGGCAGATGCTTTCACTGTCCCTATTTTACAGATGAGGACATTCAGGGCTCAGAGACACTGAAGGACCTGCCAAGAAGACAGCTGCTGAGTGGCAATCTGATGTGAATGGAGGTCTCAGTCCAGAGGCTGCACACTTCAAGAACTAGCAATGAGAGGTGTGTCCCAAGCCCCCCAACACCCTACCCTCTCAAAGATTAGGCCTGGCAAAAAGCAGGGCTGAAACAGGCTTCCTCCTGCCCCTCTGGCCAGGATCCCACCTTGATCTTCTGTTGATAGATGTTGTCATCCTCAGCATACTCCTTGTACAGGACTGAGAGTTCCAGCCGCTCCGACACCAGAGGATTCTGCACAGCAATCTGCAGGAGGCAGGGATCCATCATGCTCTGGCACGGAAGTTGAGTAACCCACACCTAACATCTACAAAAGGGGTTCTAGGCTGGTCATTCAGTGGCACAGCAACCCCCATAAATGCATGGAGTGCCTAGCATAGACTGGAGGGGAGGGGAGGGCTTCAAAACAGACACTAGGCCTCAGGCCCTGACTATACACCCAACCATAAAATCCTCAGATTCTGCCTCCCCAGCCTTCTCCAACCTCTCACCTCTTGTTGAATTCGGTCCTGCTGAGCCATAATGGCTTCATCATAGGCCAGACAGTTAACACCTAAAAAAAAAAAAAAAAAAAAAAAAAAAAAAAAAAAAAAAAAGAAGTGCCAAGCAAGGGTTACTGTGGGGACCTGGCTATCTCTATGGCAGGCAGCTTTGGCAGAACAGGTTTGGAATATGGAGCCCCGTGTCTTATATTCCACTGTGTAATCTTGGCAAAGTCCTTCCTCTTTAGGTTTTCACTTCCTGTCTTTTGGAGAAGGTAGCTGTTCCGGTATGGTGTTATTTGCAAGGGTAAATCAAGAAGACCACAAGTTCAAGGCTACTGGAGCTACACAAAGCCTAGTCTCCAAAAATAAAATAAAAGGGGGGGGGTGTAGTGTGAGCAGCACAGTGCACAGCTCTAAGTCCCAGCACTTACAGACCAGACCAGGAAGATAAAGAAGCCTAGGAGTTCAAGATCAACCCTGGAAATACACAAGGCCTTATCTTGGAAGAAAACAGGTCTGGGGTTGAGGCTCAGTGGTAGAAAATATATTTGTCCTGCAGGTGTAAGCCCTGGCTTCTATTTCTAGCAACCCGAAAAAGCAGTAAATAAAAAATGACAAGCCAGGCAGTGGTGGCGCACACCTTTAATCCCAGCACTCAGGAGGCAGAGGCAGGCGGATCTCTGTGAGTTCGTGCCCAGCCTGTTCTACAGAGCAAGTGCCAGGACAGGCTCCAAAGCTACAGAGAGAAACCCTGTCTCGAAAAACAAAAAACAAAACAAACAAAAAAGTGACAAAATAAAGATCACTATCAAGACACTCTTCCAGCCTTGCTATTCCTTTTTCCCTGATTTCTAACATTATCTGTAGCATCCTGGCTGGGGAAGGGAGTCTCTGGGGGAAAGCAAGATGAGGTGGGTGGAGCCCTAGGTGGAATGAGAGCATCTCTCCAACAAGCACTTTGCTGGGACACACCCTTTATCCTTCTGTGGTCCTATTGCTAATGGTGCTCATTTTGCAAATAACAAATGCAAAGAAGCGACTCCATCTTGCCCAAGGTCAAAACCAGTGAAGAGCTGTGGGCATGTCCACATCTGTACAATTCCAGTCTGAGCTCTTGGCAATGTCACTTGCACTGCACTGCGAAGCCCTCTACCCTTACCTGAAGAATGGATTAATGCCAACACCTTGCTCCCATCATCAAAATACACTGGGATCCTGAAAGCACCAAGTAATACTTAAGCACTCTCTAGAGGCATCCATGGATTTGGGAGGTTCATCCTGTGGACCCTACTCCAAGCAACTATTGGATAGGGGTCAGGAGACACTAATTCTAGTCCGGAATCCTTCTTAGATATATGATCGAGAACAATTTCTTTCTTCGTACCTGGGTTTGCTAGTCTAGAGTGTAGAGTTAGAGCAGGGTGTGCATGTCCAGGTTCTCAGCTGAGCCTATGTCCCACAACAGGGCGGTCCCTCCCACTAGAGAAACTTAATCCCCAGAACCCAAGTTCATGCATGGTAGACATGGAGAGGGCGTGACCGGTTTTTTTGTTTTAAGGACCAGAGAACTAGGAAAACAATGCCTGCATCTGCTAGGGGAGGTCAGACGAGCTCTAACGAAGAGGGCTGCAGGCAGCATCCCGAACGCCCCACAGGGGACTTCATGCTTGGCAGCTCGGCGTCACTCAACGCCGTTCGGCTGTTCGGGTAAGGGCGGGCGGCTCGGCCCAGGCCTAGGCCTCGGCTTG